GTTGTTGTTTATTCATACCTGTTTTTCTCTCCACTAGGACACAAAGCAGTGATGTCTCTATTATTAGTATTATAATTTATTATTATAATGTATTATTATTATTACTATTATTATTATGTTTATTCATACCCATTTTTCTCTCCACCGGGACTCAAAGCAGTGATGTGTCTATTATTAGTATTATAATTAATAATAATAATAATAATAATAATTATTATTATTATTATTATTATTATTATTATTATTATGTTTATGTTTATTCATATGCATTTCTCCCTCCACCAGGACTCAAAACAGCAATGTTGTTGTTATTATTATTATTATTATTATTATTATTATTATATTGTGATTATTATGTTTATTCATACTCCGCTTTTTCTCTCCACCAAGACTCAAAGCAGTTATGTATTGATTATTACTATTAGAATGTATTATTATTGTTGTTGTTTATTTATAACTCACTTTTTCTCTCCACAAGGAGACTCAAAGCAGCTATATGTATCATTATTATTATTATTATTATTATTATTACTATGTTTATGGATACCTCGTTTTTTCTCTCCCCAAAGAGACGCAAGCCATGATCCAAATGCATATCTTTGGAAGCAAATGAAGGAAACCAGAGAGAAGGTAATAAGAGAGATCTGTGGGAACGAGGCACAAAGAAGAAGAAGCCGTCTCTTACCACAGCAGCGCCGACAGCCATTTCTCCTTGACTTCAGGGCAGCTGGAAATGAGAAACCAAGGATGAAAGTGGGACAATATCGAGTGGAAACGCACAGTTTATGGGACGGCGAGCGACGTTTCCTTCCGCTTCTGCGCTATTTTAGTGGAAAGCATTCCATCCTCGCTGAGCTCAGTTTCCTGGAGAGGATGGGAGCAACCCTGAGAAGCGATTGTCCCTTCGTTCCGATGACTCCGTTCTAAGACTATTTTTCGTCAAGTGGGACCTTGATGCCACGTTGGCTCTGCTCCACTCCCTTTGCCTTGGAATTCCTAGAAAACCATTCAGTTCTGAATGTGGAATATGCCTGGAGACCCTGAAAACGCCTGATTCTCATCTCATCCCAGAGCTAAACAGGATGGCAAACCAATAACTAGGGATGTGCGATGGTTCAAAAGTCATTGCAAAACAGGGCAGTGCTGGTGCTTCATTTCTAAAGTGTTTCTAAAGTATAATTAGTGAAAAAAATTGGTACTATAATGGAACCAACAGAATTTCATTGCTATTTCGATATACTAATTGTGCATCATTGCTATAATTGGGGAAACTTCCGGGGCTCCTTTCTCCCTCATTTGTATACCCATTGGGGTGAAACTTACTACAGTGGTAGAACACATTGAGCATTGTAAGCCCAGCAAATTACAAAACATTTCACTTATCCACAGATTTTCTGGGAATTTTCAAACAATGGCATCAAACTACAAGAAAGGAGATTCCATCTGAACATTAGGAAGAACTTCCTGACTGTGAGAGCCATTCAGCAGTGGAACTCTCTGCCCCAGAGTGTGGTGGAGACTCTTTCTTTGGAGGCTTTTAAACAGAGGTTGGATGGCCATCTGTCGAGGGTGCTTTGAATGCAATATTCCTGCTTCTTGGCAGAATGAGGTTGGATTGGATGGCCCAGGAGGTCTCTTCAAACTCTGTTTCAAAGCCTCCAAAGAAGGAGCCTCCACCACACTCCAGGGCAGAGAGTTCCACTGCTGAACAGCTCTCACAGTCAGGAAGTTCTTCCTCATGTTCAGGTGGAATCTCCTTTCTTGTAGAATCGAAACGCTGATTAAAGCAATGGTAGGCTCTTTTTCTTGACCAATGTGGCACATGGCAGAGCATGCCTTGCATTCTGTGGGTGGGGACAGCCCTTACCTGAAAGTGACCACGCAGTTGGTGGTGGGCCAGCCCAGCACGAAGGAGGACTCTGGGCTCAGACGCTTCTCCGACACGTCGCCAAGGCAAGCGCTGGTCCAGATCTCTCCCAGCGGGACTTGCTTCTTGAGTTTCAGGCTGGAAGAAGACCTGGAGGACAAGGCTTGGGTTAAAGCAAGAGGTTTGGCAGGAAAAGGAAGCTTCTGTTCCATCCCATCTTTTCATCCACCCACCATAAAACTTCCCTTTCTTCCTTCCTTCCTTTCTTGCGGAGCTGCTTCGGAGAAGTCCCTGTTGCAAGTCTACACCCAAACGAGCCTCACAAAGTGTTGCAAGAGGCTTGCAAGAGGGCCTCCACTAGAGATCACAAACATTGGGTCAGGAATACAAAAATACAGAATACAAGGCAAAAACTGTACAACTATATGAATATAAATCTTCATCTACATATGTGTGTGCGCGACTGACATGCATATACCCGTGCGTTCTTATAACTCAAAGGCCATATGAATATAAGGGAAGAACTATACAGAAATACAGAATCTAAAGCAAGAACTGTACTTTTGACCAATAGCTATATTAATGTGGCAAAAATGGTACAGAAATTCGCCTATATATATGCATATAGTCTTACATTCATATAACTCTAACCCAAAGGAACACTACAGAAATACAGAATATAAAGCAAGAATTGTATTTTTGTCTGATAGCTCTCTCTATCTCTCTCTCTCTCTCTATATATATATATATATATATATACACACACACACACACACGCATGCATGCATGCATGCATATAGCCTTACATTCATATAACTCTAACCCAAAGGGAAGAACTGTACAGAAATACAGAATATAAAGCCAGATTATACTTTTGACTTATGGTTATATGAATATCAACCTGCACACTTCCACATACCTATGGCTTAAATGTACATAGCCTTACATTTCTGTAACCTAAAGACTGTACAGAAATACAAGAATTATACTTTTGACTGATGGCTATATGAATATGTGGCAAAAATGGTACAGAAATTCACCTTCACACACACACACACACACACACATTTATATGAATATAGCCTTTTGACTTATGACTATATGAATATGTGTATGTGTATCTATATAAATAAAAGTGTTATGTTTGTTTGTGGGATTAACATAACTCAAAAACCACTGGATGAACTGACACCAAATTTGGACACAAAACACCTATCAGGCCAACAAGTGACCATCACTCAAAAAACACTGAAAAACACAGTGGAAGGGACTTAAAAAGCCCAAAAAAGCAAAACGACACTACAGCACATGCACAAAACTACATATATACACACAAACATGCATATATACACACATATACAAATATATACACACAAAAACACATATATACACAGACTGGGCCACAGCAATGCATGGCAGGGGATGGCATATATATATATATATATATATATATATATATATATATATATATCATATGCATGTTGCATTACATTAATATAACTCTAACCACAGGACTATATGAATAGAAGGCAAATTTCTGTAGAGCTCTTCCCTTATATTCACTTATAGCCACAAGTCGAAAAGTATTTGGAGGAAAATACTCCTGCATAAAAATAAGTATGAGGGATGTAGTGGATTATTGTTTTGTAAGCCAATTGTAGGTCTCTGCACAAAATCCATCATCCCCACATAGCCACTAGTGAGTCTTCTTATGGAGAGATAAACTGGGACATAAATAAACATGATAACAACAACAACAACATCAACAACAACAACAAAGACTCTGGCACAAGCCAGTCAAGGTGTGGTCCCAGTGGTGATTGGCACACTGGGTGCAGTGCCTAAGACCTTGGCCTGCACTTAAACACAATCAGCGCTGACAAAATTCCCATCTGCCCGCTGCAAAAGGCCACCCTACTGGGATCTGCGCACATTATTCGTCAATGCATCACACAGTCCTAGACACTTGGGAAGGGTCCAATGTGTGATCCAATACAACAGCTAGCAGAGTGTCTGCTGCGGACTCATCTTGTTGTGTTTCTAATAATAATAATAATAATAATAATAATAATAATAATAATAGATTGCAAAATAGTTGTATTCTATGGGAAATGCAACCATGCACAGCGAATGTGCAATGATGTACCAGGAGATAATGCATCCATCTTGCCGTTGCAAGGAATGGCTAATATCTTTAATCTAGGTGAATGATGGGGATTTAATTCGGTAGGTGCATAAGACCATTCATAAAGACGGGCGTCAAAAATGGCCACCGGATTTTGTACAAAGCCTATGTGACGCTGTGACACGTTTGGTGGCTCCCTTGGGAGTCTGGGCTTCCGAAAAGAGGCGCCGGGTTTTGCTATGATTTTATCCCAAAGGGCCAAAGTTCCCTGGGATGCCTTCTGCATGTTTGTGTTCCTCTCCTTGCCTTCCCGCCGGAGTGTTTACTGGACCGTAAGCCCCTTTTTATTAAGGAACTGGAATGTGTACAAATCCGTCCCTTCTATTTATTTATTGTAACTTTCCCTTATTGTCCTTCTTTGGGAAGAGCTGGAGGCAAAGCGCCACACTTTCGAAAACAATTTATAAAACAAACACCATCTCTGATTTAGGACAAGGCCATTACACTTCAGAAGACAACTTATATCTTTGCAGAATGACACCGCTTTTTACTGCTAAGTATTTTATAAATGCTCTGGTGATATCTATCTGGTGAAGAGAGGTGCTTTTGAGCTGTGGTGCTGGAGGAAAGTTCTGAGAGTGCCTTGGACTGCGAGAAGATCCAACCAGTCCATCCTCCAGGAAAGAAAGCCCGACTGCTCACTGGAGGGAAAGATACTAGAGACAAAGTTGAAGTCCTTTGGTCACATCATGAGGAGACAGCAAAGCCTGGAGAAGACAATGATGCTGGGGAAAGTGGAAGGCAAAAGGAAGAGGGGCCGACCAAGGGCAAGATGGATGGATGGCATCCTTGAAGTGACTGGACTGACCTTGAAGGAGCTGGGGGTGGTGACGGCCGACAGGGAGCTCTGGCGTGGCTGGTCCATGAGGTCACGAAGAGTCGGAGACGGCTGAACGAATGAACAACAACTGGTGATAACTTTCAAGCTGACCTGGAGATGCCCTAATACAGTGGTTCCCAACCTTTGGTCTTCCAGGTGTTTTTGGACTTCAGTTCCCACAATTCCTAACAACTGGAAAGTTGGCTGGGATTTCTGGGAGTTGAAGTTCAAAACACCTGGAGGACCAAAGATTGGGAACCACAGCAGCTTAATAGAAGAGAGTGTCGTTTGCATTAAGGTGTTGCATAGCATTATAGGGCTTCCTTGCCAAGATGTATTCGGAGGTTAAACCTAATGGGTTTTCATGGTGGCATATTATAATAATTATTATTATTATAATTATTATTATTATTATTTGAAACACAACAAGATGAGTCCACAGCAGACATTCTGCTGGCTGTTGAATTGGATCACACATCAGATACTTCCCAAGTGTCTAGGACTGTGTGATGTATCGGCAAATAATGCATGCAGATCCCAGTAAGGTGGTCTTTTGCAGCTGGCAGATGGTAATTTTGTCAGTGCCAATTGTGTTTAAGTGCAGGCCAAGGTCTTTAGGCACTGCACCCAGTGTGCCGATCAGCACTGGGACCACCTTGACTAGTTTGTGCCAGAGTCTTAATTATTTTTATTATTAATAATATAATTTACTGCTAAGTATTTTATAAATGCTCTGGTGATAACTTCCAAGCTGACCTGGAGATGCCCTAATACAGTGGTTCCCAACCTTTGGTCTTCCAGGTGTTTTTGGACTTCAGTTCCCACAATTCCTAACAACTGGAAAGTTGGCTCGGATTTCTGGGAGTTGAAGTTCAAAACACCTGGAGGACCAAAGATTGGGAACCACAGCAGCCTAATAGAAGAGAGTGCCGTTTGCATTACATAGCATTATAGGGCTTCCTTGCCAAGATGTATTTGGAGGTTAAACCTAATGGGTTTTCATGGCAGATCAGGGACATTATTATTATTATTATTATTATTATTATTATTATTTGAAACACAACAAGATGAGTCCACAGCAGACACTCTGCTGGCTGTTGAATTGGATCACACATCGGACACTTCCCAAGTGTCTAGGACTGTGTGATGTATCGGCGAATAATGCGTGCAGATCCCAGTAAGGTGGCCTTTTGTAGCTGGCAGATGGTAATTTTGTCAGCGCCGATTGTGTTTAAGTGCAGGCCAAGGTCTTTAGGCACTGCACCCAGTGTGCCGATCACCACTGGGACCACCTTTACTGGTTTGTGCCAGAGTCTTTATTATTATTATTATTATTATTATTATTATTATTATTATTATTATTGAATCATAAAAGCCATCTATTCCAACCCCCTGCCATGCAGGAAAAGCACCATCAAAGCACCCCCGTCAGATGGCCATCCTGTCTTTATTTGAAAGCCTGCAGGGAAGGAACCTCTTATGTTATTAAAGCAAAGGTAAAGGTTTCCTCTGACATTAAGCCCAGTCGTGTCCGACTTTGGGACTCTGGTGCTCATCTCCATTTCTAAGCCAAAGAGCTGGCGTTGTCCATAGACACCTCCATGGTCATGTGGCCAGCAAGACTGCATGGAGTGCCATTACCTTGCCACCAGAGCGGTACCTATTGTTCTACTCATATTTGCATGTTTTCAAACTGCTAGGTTGACAGAAGCTGGGGCTGACAGCGGGAGCTCATGCCACCTCCGGATTTGAACCTACAACCTTTCGGTCAACAAGTTTAGCAAATTTAACCCACTGCATCACCAGGGGGCTCATTCTTATATTATTAGATAATAATATAATAGTATATATAGTATTATATTACACACACACTTATTATTATTATTATTATTATTATTATTATTATTATTATTCCCCACCTTTTTCCACAAAGGAAACTCAAAGTGACTTAGGTGCCTTCATCCTGCTGTCCAGAGTCAAAGGATCCCACAATCATAAAGGCCAATGGGTCCCCAAAGGGCATCTAGTCTAACCTCCCTTTATTCTGCAGTAAAAGCACAGTCAAAGTACCCCTGACAGATGGCCATCCGGCCTCTATTTAAAAGCTTCCAAGGAAGGTGCCTCTTATATTACTACATAATAACTTGAAGTCCAATGGGTCCTCAAAGACCATCTAGTCCAACCCCCTCAGTAGGAATCCGCCAACTGATGCAAACTGGGACAAGAACAAGAGCGCTGCATTTTTTGCCCAGTGATGGATGGTGTCTCTCGCTAAGCCACTTACTTGGACTTGGCCACAACAAGCCGGTCATCGAAGAGAAAGAGATGCCTCTCCTGGGTCTGCAAGCCCTGGGTCATCTGCACCCGTTCCTCCAGGAGGAAGAGCGAATTGGGCCGGCCAAAGGCACCGGCCATGGAGAGACCGTTGTCCAGCTGAGAGGGGCAGAGGCCCACGTCACGGTGGCTGCAGAAAAGAAGAACGGTTACATGCATTGCCATGGGAATGTCACTTTGGGCAAGAGGTGGCTGGCTGCTAAACTCTTGGGACTCCATTTATTTGTCCCGGTTTCCCTCCCTCCTCCCACCTTTGTCCTTGGCTTGTGTTGAAATAATTCAGCAGAAGAGAAGGAGAGGGAGGAGGAGAAAGAGAAGGAGGGAAAGGGAAGAAGGAGGGGAGAAGGAGGAAGGGAAGGAAAAGAAAGTAAGGGAGAAGGAAAGAGAGGAGAGGAAAAGGAGAAGAGGAAGAAAAAGAAAGAAAGAAAGAAAGAAAGAGGAGAAAGAAAGAGGGAAAGGGAAGCTAAGACAGACAAGGTAAGAGAGACGAGGTGAAGGAGAAGGAGGAGAAGGAGAAAGAGAAGGAGGGGAGGAAGGAAAGGAGAGGGAGAAGGAAGAAAAGGAAAAAGGAGAAGAGGAAAAGAGAAAGAAAGAGAAGGAAAGAAAGGAGGAGAAAAGAGGAGGAAGGAGAGGGAAGAGAAGGAAGGAAGAGAAGAAAGAAGAAAGAAAGAACGAAAGAAAGAAAGAAGGAGAAAGCAAGAAAGAAGAAAGGGGAGAAGAGAAGAAGGAAGGAAGAAGGAGAAGGAGAGAAGGAAGGAAGAGAAAGAGGAAGAGGAGAAGGAGAAAAGAGAGGAGAAGGAAGAGAAGAGGAAGAGAAAGGAAAGGACAGAAGGAAGGAGAGAATGAGAGGAAAAGGAAGGAAGGAAAAAAGCAAGGGGAAGAAGGAAGAGAAGGAAAGAAAGAAAGAAGAAGAAAGAAGGGAAGGAAGGAGAGGAAGGAGGAAGGAAGAAGGAGAGGAAGGAAAGAGGAAGATAGGGAGAAGGGGAAGGAAGCAAAGAGGGACTAGGAGATGACAGAGGGAGGGAAAGGAGAGGGAGAAGGAGAAAGAGAAAGATTGGCGAGGGGAAGGGAAAAAAAGTGGGAGATGGAGGAGAAGGCCTGGGAAGAAGAAAGAGATGGAGGAGGAGGAGGAAGAGGAAGGGAATGAGAGGGAGAAGGAAGAAAAGGAGAAGGGAAAGGAAGTCAAACAGAGAGAAAGGAAAAGGACGAGGAGAACCACATTGCTTTCCAAGAAGGCTCAGACAAAACCACATTGCTTTTTGATCCAGAACTTCTGAAAGATTCTGAAGTGAGGCCACATCTCTCCAACTTTGCAACTTGTCCTCAGTCTCCAATTGACGCAAAAGGCACCGAAAACACAAGCAGAAATCAATCCAGAGGGGAAATGTTTAAATTTCCGCTCGGCCTCCAAGAAGCATCCAAACAAAGTGAGAGAGTGGACATCTTGCACCGAGGGAGGTTTTCCTCGTCCTTCTGAAGCCGAAGTCTTTCTCTCCCTGGCATTGGCTCAAACCCTTTCCGCAAAGGCCAAGCCATTAAACATAGACGGATAAATGAAAAACGTCCCTCTCGTAAAAAAGCTGTTTGGTTCAAAGTGTAAATCATTTAAGTTTTAACTTGGGCTTTAAAAAAATATATTTATTTCAGTTCCACAAGCTGCCAAGAAGGATGATTCACGAGGACACTTTCTGGGACCAGAGAGAAGAGGAGGCCAAAAAGAGGAGCCGTTTGCAACAAAGGAAGCGGCATCATGAATAACTCTGTCTTCCTTAATGGCAGAAGGGGGTTGGCCTGGATGGCCTCTGGGGTTCCTTCTAGCTCAATGAGTATGTGCAGGTACAACTGCACCAGGAGCTCCAATTTTGTTTGCTTTGCATTGAATGTTTGTTGTAGTCCCAAGTTTCAGGGACTCTGCAGATAGGTGGCTTCTTTTGGCTGCAATCAGAGGGCAAGCCACCTGTCAATTATAGCTAGGTTCCCTGGTCCCACCCCCTTTGGGTTTTTGGAGGGAATAGGAGCCTTTTTGAGTTCAGTCCACACAGAGAAGCCTTCCATGCAGGACATAATACCAAGAGCTCCTGTAGAAAGCGTCGTCTTCTACGGCTTGGCTGGGAGACATACAGCTTTATAGCTTGGCCGGGGTTATACAGCCCTACAGCTTGGCCGGGGAGAAAAGGCCCACAGCTTGGCTGAGTATTTTGCAGCCCTGCAGCTCCTTTGCTGAAGAACTTCAGCCAGCCATCACCTAAACCTGAACTCGTTCTTTTTCCCTGGAAGTCTACAAAGCTCTGCTTGGTAAGGGTCGCTCGCGGAAGCCAGACGCAGTTGGTACCGGGTGCAGGGGCTCCACGCCAACAGAAGCAAGTACAGAATGCCCAGATTAGAAGTTAAGGATTTCCCCATTAGTTAGTATACAGTTAAGAAGATAGTGCCTGTTCCCAGTGAACAAGATTGCAAGAGCCAATAGACTGTTAAGAAAGCTTGAAAGTACCTGTTTGTTTTCATCAATAAAGAACTTTGTTGGACTTATTTATTATTTATTTCGGTTGCTTCTACCCCGCCCTTCTCACCCCGGAGGGGACTCAGGGCGGCTTACAAAAGCAAGGCACAATTTGATGCCCGCATCACATAACAACAATAAGACAAAATAACATCAATTAACAGAAAACAGCAATTCTAGCAATAACATCAATTAACAGAAACAACAATTCTTGCAAGGCGAAAACAACCATAAAACCAGTAAAAGCAATAAAACCAATACAAACCATTTCTCATCATTGACGGTCAGCGTTTCACAATCTCATAGTTCAAATTCCAATTCCACAATTGTCAGTCCTGTCAGTCCTATCCATCTGGTTGTCCATATCTAGTTGTCAGATTGCCCAAAGGCCTGGTCCCACAACCACGTCTTTACCTTCCTCCTGAAGGAGAGGAGGGATGTTGATGCCCTAATTTCCCCCGGGAGTGAGTTCCACAGGTGAGGGGCCACCACTGAGAAGGCCCTGCTCCTCGTCCCCACCAGCCTCACTTGTGATAGCGGTGGGGTCGAGAGCAGGGCCTCCCCAGATGATCTCAAATTCTGGGGTGGGACGTAGAGGGAGATACGTTCAGACAGATACACTGGACCGGAACCGTAAAGGGTTTTGTAGGTCAAAACCAGCACCTTGAATTGTGCTCGGAACTGAACCGGCAGCCAGTGGAGCTGACACAGCAGGGGGGTGGTGTGCTCCCTGTATGTCGCTCCGGTGAGTAATCTGGCTGCCGCTCGCTGGACCAGTTGAAGTTTCTGAACAGTCTTCAAGGGCAACCCCACGTAGAGTGCGTTGCAGTAGTCTATTCGGGATGTAACTTACTTTAAGCCTCTACAGAACTTTGTTTTGGGGAGGTCCAAGGGCCTTTAATCTGAGGCAGCCCCGGCATCCCGTTGGGTACACGGAATTTATGTCCTGTCTACAGTCATATGCACAGGCCCAGCATGCGACAGCACAGAGTATAATACTAATCATAAAGTGGGGAATAAATAAATAAATAGAATAATAATAATAATAATAATAATAATAATAATAATAAATAGGCATGTGCAATCCATGGTTCTAAAGCACGCACAAAATTAGGTGCTTTGTTTGTAAAGTGTTTCTAAAGTTTTGGTGGTGAAAATTTCAGAACTCTAACAAAACTTTCAAAATTTCATTATAAATTGCATTTCCTAATTGGTTCTGTCATAAAAAAACATGGCAAAAGTTTATTACACTGCAAAAACTTTGTCCTTGTGCAAGGGACATGGCCCTATAGGACATTTTGGTTTGTTGAGTCCCCACCAAATTAACAAAGTTTCGCCATTTCTATGCCGCCCTTCTCACCCCGAAGGGAACTCAGAGCGGCTTACAAGGTATATATACATACAATATACTATGTTATTAGCCTGAACATCAAACAAAAAGTGGGCTCTAGAAACAATATCATACGAAAGCTGACTGGCACAACCTGGGGATCACAACCAGATACAGTGAAGACATCTGCCCTTGCGCTGTGCTACTCTGCTGCAGTACGCATGCCCAGTGTGGAACACATCTCACCACACTAAAACAGTGGATGTGGCTCTTAATGAGACATGCCGCATTATCACGGGGTGTCTCGCCCTACACCACTGGAGAAATTACACTGCTTAGCCGGTATTGCACCACCTGGCATTCGCCGGGAAGTAGCAGCCAATAGTGAAAGGACCAAGGCAGAGACATCTCCAGCTCATCCCTTGTTTGGGTATCAGCCAGCACGTCAACGACTTAAATCAAGAAATAGTTTTTAAGATCTACAGAGACACTCGCGGAAACACCTCAGCAAGCGAGAGTCCAAAAGTGGCAGGCTCAAACCCAGCACCTCAATCCGTGGGTGATACCAGATGAGAGACTCCCCCCTGGGCACACAGAAGACTGGGCAACTTGGAAGGCGCTGAACAGACTGCGCTCTGGCACCACCAGATGCAGAGCCAACCTCAGAAATGGGGCCACAAAGTGGAATCCACGACATGCGAGTGTGGAGAAGAGCAAACCACTGACCACCTGCTGCAATGCACCCTGAGCCCTGCCACATGATGCACAATGGAGGACCTCCTTGCGGCAACACCAGAGGCACTCCAAGGGGCCAGAGACTGGTCAAAGGACATTTAATCAGCTACCAATTTTGCCAAATTTGTGTTTTTTTTTTTAATCTGTTTGTTTGTTTTGTTCTGTTAGAAATGCAATACAATGTTCTGGTTGCGGATGACATGATAAATAAATGGTATTTAATATTAATTAATTAATTAATTAATGGAGCCCCCAGTGGCGCAGTGGGTTAAAACCCTGTGCCAGCAGGACTGAAGACCGACAGGTCACAAGTTCGAATCCGGGAGAGGCGGATGAGCTCCCTCTACCAGCTCCAACTTCTCATTCGGGGACATGAGAGAAGCCTCCCACAAGGATGATAAAACATCAAATCATCCGGGTGACCCCTGGGCAACGTCCTTGCAGATGGCCAATTCTCTCACACCAGAAGTGACTTGCAGTTTCCCAAGTCTCTCCTGACACGACAAAAAAAATTAATTAATACAATTTAACAATGTTTCTGTCTCAAAAATGAAGTTTCTGGAGTAAAGACCACACAATGAAACAGGAATTAACACTTTCAAACTGGGAACAGAAGTCACAGGTCCACAGCTTGGGTGTCCTCCTGGACTCATCACTTACGCTTGAGGCTCAGGCGTTGGCAGTGACCGGGAGGGCCTTTGCACAATTGAGACTCGTGCGCCAACTGCGACCGTACCTCGTGAAGGCGGATCTGGCCAGGGTGGTTCACGCCTTAGTCACCTCCAGATTGGACTACTGTAACACACTCTACGTGGGGCTGCCCTTGAAAATGGCCCGGAAATTTCAATTGGCACAATGGGTGGCAGCCAGGTTACTTACCGGTGCTCCTTACAGGGAGCGGTCAACCGTTCTGTTTAAGGAGCTCCATTGGCTGCCATTCATTTTCCGGTCCCAATTCAAGGTGCAGGTTCTCACCCACAAAGCCCTGAACGGTTTGGGACCCGCCTACCTGCGTGACCGCATTTCCATGTACGAACCCACACGCTCCCACCTCCTTCGCAGGCACGACTGGTGGGGACAAGAGAGAGGGCCTTCTTGGTGGTGGCCCCTCGACTCTGGAATTCACTCCCTAAGGACATCAGACATGCCCCAACGCTGGCAGTCTTTAGGAGGAGCCTGAAAACGTGGTTGTTCCAGTGTGCCTTTCCAGAATAAGCAATATGTCCTCAAATGCACTTTAATATTGATTTAGGATTGTCTGCGTGCCCACACCTTTCTTTGAAAACCCTATCCTAGTTTACCCTACCCTTATACATGCCCAGCATTTTAAATTTTAATTATTACATTTGGCCCGGCCATAGGTTTTTAAAAGCTTTTTGTTATTCTTATTGTTGTTTATTGCTTATTGTGTATTTTTTGTTTTTGAGTTTTATTTTAACTGTTTTGTATTGATTATTTGTTATCGCTTTTGTTTATTGATGTGTTGTGGGCTCGGCCTCATGTAAGCCGCACCGAGTCCCTTGGGGAGATGGTAGAGGGGTACAAATAAAGTATTATTATTATTATTATTATTATTATTATTATTATTATTATTTATTAAAAAGTGTTTTATAAAAACTCTGAAGTTTCACCAAAAATAAATGGATAAGTCTGAAATTTGGTGAGCTAACTGGTGAAATTTTTAAAGTTTTGTTAGAGTTCTGAAATTTCTACCACCAAAACTTTAGAAACACTTTAGAAACAAATCACCAGTGCCCCTTAGTTTTGTAAGTACTTTAGAACCATTTAGAAGCATGGATCGCAGATGCCTAATAATAAACATCCAAATCAATTAAAAAACTGGTAATGTGATCCAATACGTGACAGAACCATCTTACAGACTGCTAGGATTTGTAGTTCCCTGCTGGAGAAGTCATGGTTGACTCTTCCCAGAATAATAAATAAGGAAGGAATGAATCGCAGGCAGCAAAGTGCAAATCCCAAGGTCCCATTGCCTCCAATAGAGATTGCAAGGGAAAGGTCTCTCGAAATTAGCAGCCAAAACAGTGCAGAAAAGGAGTGGAAATGAGTCACGATCCTGGCAGAGGCCCAGAAGGGAAGGTGGAGCAGACGGATAGACGGACGCCCTGACCCAGATTGGGAAGCACGGCCTCTCTTCTGCCCCAGAACTCGCCTCCAAGGCAGGAAGGACAAGGCATTGAAACTTCCTTCCTTTCTCTCTGTTCCTCCCATTGAAGGCCTCCTCCCGCACATCCCTCTGATAAGGAGGCTTTCCAAGAGAACACAGAAAACAACAGCCAGCCCTTCTCGTTTTGGAAACATTGCTTCCAATGCAATGCAAAGACCTTGCAAGCATGTTAAGGATCATGTCTTTGGGAACAGGGGGTTGTCAAAAAGTGGAGGCTGACAACAGCAATGGCACAGAACTTGGAAATTCCAGACAACAAGCAATCAAGAGCCAGTTAAACAATAGACGCCTCCAGGCAACAACAGCCAGGCCACCTCCATGGAGATACCCTCACTGATTGATTTTGCAGCTGCAAGGCTACGCAATGCTAACCAAGCTTGCTCATTGCAACAATCACACTTGCTTCAAACAGACAAGGGTTCTTTCTCCCACCCTGGACATCATTCCACAGAGGGTGCCTCCAGGCAACAACAGCCAGGCTACCTCTATGAAGAGACCCTCAGTTATTGATTTTGCAGCTGCAAGGCTACGCAATGCTAATCAAGCTTGCTCATTGCAACATTCACACTTGCTTCAAACAGGCAAGGGTTCTTTCTCCCACCCTGGACATCATTCCACAGAGGGTGCCTCCAGGCAACAACAGCCAGGCCACCTCTATGAAGAGACCCTCCGTGATTGACTTTACAGCTGCAAGGCTACGCAATGCTAATCAAGCTTGCTCATTGCAACATTCACACTTGCTTCAAACAGGCAAGGGTTCTTTCTCCCACCCTTGTAATTATTCAACAGGTGTATGTGTGTGTGTGTGTGTGTGTGTACACACACACACACACACACACACACTCCACTGGCCTAATTTCAAACAGAACCTCTGAAGATGCCCTTAGCCACAGATGCATGCAAAAGATCAGAAAAGCATGCTGCTAGAATACATTGACCATATAGCCTGGAAAACTCACAGCAACACAGAACTTGGAAATCCCATTCAAAACTAATTTTGCAAAGGAACTCCATCTTCACTGTAGAAATAATGCAGTTTGATATAGGTTTGACTGCTGTAGCTCAATGCTACAGAATCTGTACTGTTATAGTTTGCCATCATCACTCTTTGATGGAGAAAGGCCTTGCAAAACTACAACTCCCAGGATCCCATAACACTGATCCATGGCTGGTGTCAAACTGCATTTATTTATACATTGTAAATGCCATCCTTGAAGAAGAGGAAGAAAGGGGAAAGGAGAGCAGAGGGAGAAGAAAGAAAAGGAAAGAGAAGAGGAAAAAAGAGAGAGAAAGGAGAAGGAGGAGAAAGAGGAGGAGAGGGAGACAAAGAACAATAAGGAAGTAAAGGAGAAGGAGAAGAAAGAAGGAGAAATAGAGGGAGGGGGAGAAGAAGGGAAAAGAGAAGAGATATGAGAGAAGGAAGAAAAGAAGAAATGAAATGGAAAGACCAAGAGATAGAAAGGAGAAGAAGATGGAGAGACAGAGAGAAAGGAGGAGGAGAAAGAGAAAAAGAAAGAGAGGGAGATGGAGATGGAGAAGTAGGAGGAGGAGGTGAAGGAGAAGAAGAAAAAGATGGAGGAGGAGAAAGAGAGAGGAGGAGGAAGAGAAGAAGGGAAAAGAGAAGGGATAGTAGAGGGAGAAGGAAGAAAAGAAGAAATGAAATGGAAAAACCAAGAGATAGAAATGAGAAGGAGAAAGATAGGGAGAAAAGTGGAGAAGGAGGGGGAGAAAGAGAAAGGGGAAAGAGGGGGAAGAGGAGAAGGAGAAGGGAAAGGAGGGAGAGAAGGAAGAAAGGGGGAAGGAAAAGGAAAAGCAGATGAGAGGCAGAGAGAAAGGAGGAAGAGGAGGAGAAAGAGAAAGAGAGGGAGGTGAAGACGGAGAAGAAGCAGGAGGAGGAGGTGAAGGAAAAGAAGAAAAAGACGGAAGAGGAGGAAGAGGAGAAGAAGGGAAAGAGGAAGGTAAAGGAGAGAGAGAAGAAAGAGCCCTCTTTGCTACCACCTTCTCCCCAACATGAAGGATTCTGGATGAGTTCTGCTCACCTGGGATGATGCTTGGACTTGCTGAGGGCTCTGCTGATGGCGGTGGATGTGGAGCGCCTTCTGTGGATGATGGGCTTCATTTTCTGTGGGAGAGAAGCACAACGTTGGAGATGTCACCCAGACTCCATCTTTGCTCAGAGCCAAAGTGATGTTGGAAAGGGACGGACTGGGTGACAAAGACGGAGGGACATCAACAAAGACAGCAAAGACGTCTGATGGCAAACCCAACCCAGGCTTTGCTCCAAACACAAAGAACCCAGAACTATCCAGGATGCTGAGGAACTCATTGAGGTGCCAAACTGATCTAAATACCGTATGTATATATAGAGAGAGAGACCTTCAAGTCACCTGTCGACTTATAGCAACCCTATGGATTTTGTAAGGTTTTTGAAGGCAGTGAATGCTTTGGAAGAGCTCTGAACTTCAGAGGAGCTCTCCAAAGTCCTGCATTTATCTCAGCACCATGGATAGCTCCTGGATGGTACACAAAGCATGCAAAACATTGCTATGCAATTGTGTGTTTGTGCAATCTTTATTTTCCCTAGAAAATAAAGATAATAAAGATTGTGAAAAACCTCCTCATTTCACACAAGAGAAGAAGGAGGGAAAGGAGAAGGAAAAAGAGAAATATAAGGAGAGAGTGAAGAAAAGGAAGGAGGAGGTGAAGGAGGAAGAAGAATGAAAAAGAGAGGGAGGAGAAGGGGGAGAAGGGGGAAAGGAAGGAAAGGAGAGAGGAAAGAAAGAAAATAAGGAAAAGGAAAAGAAGGAGAAAGAAGAGAGAAGAGAGAAGAGGAGGAGAAGAGAAATGGATAGAGGGAAAGATGAAGAGAGGGAGAAGAAAGAAGAGGAAAAGGAAAAGAAAGGGAGGCAAAGAGCAATGAGGAGGTGCAGGAGAAGGAGAAAGAGGGAGGAGGGAAAGGGAAGAGGAATGGGAAAGAGGAGAGGAAGAAGAAAGAAAAGGGAAAGAAGACAGAGAGAGCAAAAGAAAAGAGGAGAAAGGGGAGAAAGAAAAGGAGAGAGAGGAGAAATGCAGGAAGGAGAAGGAAAAGGAAGAGGAGAAATATAAGGAGAGAGTGAAGAAGAGGAAGGAGGAGGTGAAGGAGGAAGAAGGAGAATGAAAAAGAGAGGGAGGAGAAGGGGAGAAGGGGAAAAGGAAGGAAAGGAGAGAGGAAAGGAAGAAAAGAAAAAATGGAAAAAGAGAGAAAGAGAAGAAGGAGAAAGAAGATAGAAGAGGAGAAGGGAAATTGATAGAGCGAAAGATGAAGAGAGGGAGAAGAAAGAAAAGGAAAAGAAGGCAAGGAGAGAGAGAAAAGGAGGAGGAGGAGATGAAGAAAAAGAAAGGGAGACAAAGAGCAATGAGGAGGTGCAGGAGAAGGAGAAAGAGGGAGGATGGAAAGGGAAGAGGAATGGGAAAGAGGAGAGGAAGAAGAAAGAAAAAGGAAAGAAGACAGAGAGAGTGAAAGAAAGGAGGAGGAGAGGGAGAAAGAAAAGGAGAGAGAGGAGAAATGCAGGAAGGAGAAGGAAAAGTAGGAGAAGGAAAAGAAGACAGAGAGAGAGAGAAAGGAGGAAGAGAAACAGTTGCATTCCAAGTAGGCTCAGGCAAAAGCAAGCTGCTGTTGCCTCTTCTAGCTTGTGCTCTGGCTTTTTGATCCAGGAGTTTTGAAAGGTTATGAACACCAGGACGCTCTAATTCTGGTCTCAATTTGCAAACCAGAAAATATGGTTTGACAGGTAAACTGTGAGCAAAATCGGCTGTTTCCCAGATTTTTGCTCCAAAAAACCCATAAGGCAACCCCAAAATGGTAACAGAAAAAAAAACAGCAGCCCAAACTGGGGGCTCAGTGCTATGGAAACTGCAACTCCCAAACTCTCTGAGTGTTTCCATCCAAGCTCCATCTCCTCTCCCTAAAACATTAAGTCTGGTTTTCCCTATCTCTCCATTGGCTGGGATCAGAGCCCATCCCAAGTGGGTGAGAAACCCGCCGTGGGCCACATTTGGGGAATAACTTGCCCTGGAAAAGCCAGACACGTTGACGTGGGACTCGTAAAGCGGAGCACTGCACTGAAGGGGACTCTGTGAGGAAGGGCTGAGCTCGGAAGAAAACCCCCATGTTTCCGATATGTATCCGCCTGGTTGGGCCACGCATGATCATGGAAAGAAATCCCCTGCATATGTGTGTAGTAAAGTTATGGGATTTTAGTTGTTGAGTAAGTTGGGTGTGGAGAGGCTTTTAAGACACTCAGGGCAATGCTTTGACCACAAACTTCTTTTATAAGGGGAGTCAACCACACTGATGTAACTCTCTCAAGAATTTGGAGACAAACTTCAACTCCTTCCAAGGCCTTGCATTCTGCTTCCTCCTCCGATTTTTCATTACATGATGATGATGATGATGATGACGATGACGATTATTATTATTAGTAGTAGTAGTAGTAGTAGTATTAGTAGTAGTAGTAGTGGTAGTAGCTGTACCCGCCACACGTTGCTGTGGCCAACCTTCCCTCCCTCTTTCTCTCCTTCTTTCTTTCCTTCTGTTTTTTCCTTCTCTCCTTCCTTCCTTCCTTCCTTCTTTTTCTTCCTCTTCCCTTCCTTCCCTCCCTTTCCTTTCCTTTCCTTTCCCCTTTCTCCCCATTCTTCCTTGGACTGCAACTCCCAGCAGTCTTCCTGATCCATCTATCTACCTACCTACCTATCTCTATCTAATGTATTTATCTGGAGGATTGCTGGGAGTTGCAGTCCAGGAATAGGAAATTGCAAATCTGCTGGGAATGGGATGCTCTCAAAGAAATTCAAGGAGAAGAAGCAAGCTTGCATTTTGGAAGTAGTGCATTTGGATCCTCCTCCTCTCCTAAAGGGCCCGGTCAAGGGGATGCTGGGAATTGTAGTCTGGAAGAAAGTGTGGATATGCTATTGTGTGTGTTTTTGCCAGGGGAGTCATTTCTGCACATGCACTGTAGCGTCTTTTAGCTTTTTTGGATTTTAAGTCTTTTCTGCTGTGTTTTTCAGTGTTTTTATGAGTGATGGTCACTTGTTGGACTGATAGATGTGTTGTGTCCAAATTTGGTGTCAATTCGTCCAGTGGTTTTGAGTTATGTTAATCCCACAAATGAACATTTTTATTTATATAGATACTAGCCGTCCCCTGCCACGCATTGCTGTGGCCCACATGGGGGTTCTGTGTGGGAGGTTTGGCCCAATTCTATTGTTGGTGGGGTTCAGAATGCTCTGTGATTGTAGGTGAACTATAAATCCCAGCTACTACAACTCCCAAATGTCAAGATTCTATTTCCCTCAAACTCCACCAGTGTTCACATTTGGGCATATTGAGTATTCGTGTAGAGTTTAGCCCAGATCCATCATTGTTTGAGTACACAGTGATCTCTGGATGTAGGTGAACTATAACTCCAAAAGCAAGGACACTGCCCACCAAACCCTTCCAGTATTTTCTGTTGGTCATGGGAGAACTGCGTGCCAAGTTTGGTTCAATTCCATCATTGGTGGGGTTCAGAATGCTCTTTGATTGTAGGTGAACTATAAATCCCAGCAACTACAACTCCCAAATGACAAAAAAATTTTTTGAGTGAAGGACATACATTGGGTTTGTATTGTCGAAGGCTTTCATGGCCGGAATCACTGGGTTGTTGTAGGTTTTTCCGGGCTATATGGCCATGTTCTGGAGGCAATTTTCTCCTGACGTTTCGCCTGCATCTATGGCAAGCATCCTCAGAGGTAGTGAGGTCTGTTGGAAGTAGGAAAAATGGGTTTATATATCTGTGGAATGACCAGGGTGGGACAAAGGACTTTTGTCTGCTTGGGGCTAGGTGTGAATGTTTCAGCTGATCACCTTGATTAGCATTCAATGGCTTGGAAGTGCCTGGGGGGAATCTTTTGTTGAGAGTGATTTGATGTGCCTGTTTGTTTCCCCTCTGTTGTTTTGCTGTTGTAATTTTTGAGTTTTTTAATACTGGTAGCCAACAAAAGATTCCCCCCAGGCACTTCCAAGCCATTGAATGCTAATCAAGGTGGTCAGCTGAAACATTCACACCTAGCTCCAGCAGACAAAAGTCCTTTGTCCCACCCTGGTCATTCCACAGATATATAAACCCACTTTCCTACTTCCAACAGACCTCACTACCTCTGAGGATGCTTGCCATAGATGCAGGAGAAACGTCAGGAGAAAAATTGCCTCCAGAACATGGCCATATAGCCCAGAAAAACCTACAACAACCCATACATTGGGTTGTTAGGTGTCTTGTGTCCAAATTTGGTGTCAATTCATCCAGTGGTTTTTGAGTCCTGTTAATCCCACAAACGAACATGACATTTTTATTTATATAGATTTTGACATTGACATTGATGTTTACTTTTACGCCACGTTTCCTCTCCACAAAGGAGACTCAAATTGGCTCATTGCACCAGAAGATGACATCCTTTCTGATGCAACGGAGATGGGCTTGATTTGGTTTCAGTCATTAAAACACCTTGTGTCCATATAAGACCTATTCTTTCCACGGGACGATTTGTCATTGGGCTTAACATTTTATCAGATAGGTTTTACTGGACTGTTTCTGTGAGTGACCTTGGGTCTCGCTCCAGGAGAACAGCAGAACACAAATGCAACAAAAGAAACAAACAAGCTTCCAAAATTAGTCAAGACTGATCATAGAATCATAGAATCCAAGAGTTAGAAGAGACCTCCTGGGCCATCCAGTCCAACCCCTTTCTGCCAAGAAGCAGGAATATTGCATTCAAATCACCCCTGACAGATGGCCATCCAGCCTCTGCTTAAAAGCTTCCAAAGAAGGAGCCTCCACCACACTCCGGGGCAGAGAGTTCCACTGCTGAACGGCTCTCACAGTCAGGAAGTTCTTCCTCATGTTCAGATGGAATCTCCTCTCTTGTAGTTTGAAGCAATTGTTCCATTGCGTCCTAGTCTCCAGGGAAGCAGAAAACAAGCTTGCTCCTCCTCCTCCCTGTGGCTTCCTCTCACATATTTATACATTGCTCTCATCATATCTCCTCTCAGCCTTCTCTTCTTCAGGCTAAACATGCCCAGCTCCTTAAGCCTCCTCATAAGGCTTG